GAATTCGCAAACATCGTTATAACATAATCACACATATACCGCAGAAATATTTATGAGTGGAGCTGTCGAAATTCGCTAACATTATTATCGCATAATCACACACATGCCGCATAGAAGTGAAAGCTGCTTCACCGTAAGTAGTAATGATGTTTCCTGCTTGCGCAGGATACAGCGGATACAGCTATTCGGAACGAATAATTGCAAGGCCGAAAATCCCGTTGCGATTAACCACGCCCTTTTGATGGAATCGGCTCCAATTAAGCAAAACTGCAATTTCGTCAACGGCTCTTACGCCTCTTACCATTGTACACGACAGGCGATGTCATGCATTTATCCACACTACTTCGGCTAACGTATGACATAGATGATTTCGTTGGCTGCTTAGCGCCTTAGTTCCCCGTTTACTTACTTCAGAGTATTCGGTGTGTTTTAGGTGCTGTCGTACTTACGGTAAAGCAGCTTCCACTTCTATGCGGCATGTGTGTGATTATGCGATAACGATGTTTGCGAGTGGTGGTTTTCCACCCTACCGAATGAGCATTTATGTATGTGAGCATATAGTTTACATGGACGACGTAGAACTAACCTTTGGTGGAATTGCGCACGACACACCGTCTTTTGTGCAAAGGACTAGCGCAGTACATTCGCTTGTGAATGCGAAAATTCTTGATTTTTGAAAAGCTACCACAAATGCTGAATTTGAACGACGCAGGCGCACTGACAGGCTTCTTCGTGTTTCAGGCTTCTAGATCGGAGAATACGTGGCTGGGTGTAGAAAGGGGGGATTTTATTTTCCACCTCTTGTTACACTTAACTTCCCACTTCCACCAATGTTCCCCTGACACGTTCTTATTACCTGAGTTCGTGCGTCACATATACATGACGCCCTTGTTTGGGAAGTAGTAAAGTAGATCAAGTGGGAGAAAATGCGCCAATGGTCATCCATATCGTAGCAGTAGAACGTAGTGGTTGATGACTGTTTTTTTTTCTGTTATTACATTTATTTAATGCTTGATGGCGGCCATGTACACATGTACACATTTATTAGCTTCTATTCGGAAGACAAAGTAGTGTGTAAGGTCAAGTGGACTCGTGGAGATAAATATTCATTTCCTTGTTGATCGGAGTGAACTAAGTGTGTGAGCCAAGGTGGCACTATGTGGATAAGGTTTTATCATCTCTGGTATCAATGAGTGGAATATTTGGCTATGAATCCCTTTGAATTTAGGGGTACTCTCCAGTTTAAGTAAAAACAAGAGCTGAAAAACGGTCGCCATAATTATCCAGTTATTATTATTTTTACGTTTTTTATTTTTCAACGAATTAATGCTCTTTAAGCTTTGTCGCAACTTTCTGCAATCCTTCCTCACCGCACTGCTTTCTATTTTTTAATTAGTTGGCGTAAGGTAAACCCTTGTCAACAAGTGCTTTGTGGGAGGTAGAAGAAACTGTGTACGGTTTCGTCTCTTTCTTCTCTTCATTGGCAAAACACTAGGCTTTAGAACCTCTGCTACTTTCCTTTGGTGTTTGTGCATCATAGCGACAATGGCTTGGAAGGGGAGAAAGGGGACTGTGCAGAGCCTGGTTTTCCACTCCACTACTGCTTCATGACCTGGCATTGCATTCTTTTCATTCCCTTTTTTATTTGTTAAGTGGCGGAACCGATGGACATTGGAGCTTTTGCTCGTTCACTCCAACTCTTGTGCGAGGCAGCTCGTGTGATGCTCTGGCATGTTTCATGTTGTACAAATTTTGCAGGCTTTCTGTGGATTCTTTCCTACTTCTCCTCTTCAAATGTCTATACTTTCTTACGTGTACACCCCTTCGCCTTTTTTGCTTGGTAGACCACAAGGTCCATGAATTACGCCTCCCTTCATGCCTTCTCTCTCACTACGGGTAAATTCGCTGGAATTAGTGCTCGACCTCATCAGTTCCTCTTGGAGCTGCCTCTGACTGTGTCAAGTTGCTATCAGTGAAACGCACGACTGTTTCGCTACCAAGGCAGCCACAAGGGTAATTCTGTTCCCTTTTCGTGCTGCTGCTGCTATTTTTAGAGGTGTGTAAATCCTCCTTTGCGAGTGCGCATTCCTAAGTATCATATGCGGCATTTTCCAGCCTTTGTGTTATTTTTTTCAAATTTTTCAGCAGACATGTGGAAACAATCTATTATTGCTATGATTTGCTAGGAGGCATTACCTGTTTC